ATCTTCAAATTGTAACAGGCATGTTTGTCAGTACTGTGGTAGATCTTTTTCTAGATCTCAGTATCGTGTTGACCATATCAACACTCATCATTTGAGGACCAAACCTTATTCTTGTGCTGTATGTGGACTGAGTTTTTCTCATAAAACTAGTTTGGCCCGACACAAAAGTTATATGGGACACAGAATTTGAATGAGATTTAAGATATACAACTGTAACAAATGTACCTCTTTTTTTACTTAGTGAATAACTTGCAAGTATTGTAATTTTTCCTTCTAATATTTTTCCTTCTTATAATGGCAAAATATTAAATTCATTTGAATTTCAAAAATCATTCAAAATGTGAAGTTACCAATCTTAAGTCCAGGTCTCTCCATGTAACACTGAGTAAAAATTTGTATCTTGCTGTATTCCTCAGCATTTACCCTTAGGAAATCATCTGGATTGAAAAATTCACCTGTGAAACGAGCTTGGTTTCCATCCAACCAGCACAGGTTGTCTTGTGAGATATGTCATAAAAGTTTCATAACTACCAGAGACTATATTGGCCATAAAAATGCTAGACATTTAAATGTAAAACCCTTTTTATGTAGTTTTTGTGGCAATGGATTTGCTTATAAACGAAGTGTTGATTTTCATCAAAAAAATGGAAAATGTCCTGCTTTGATCAATACACAGCATGCAATCAAGTGGGCAGATTAAAAAAAATTGACCCGTTTGTCTAGATTTTAAAATACAAGTTACAAATGCTGATTTGCACACTGAATTTTTGTGTGAACATGGTGCTTGATCATTTTTATCTGTTAATATAGTTGTAAAAGAGATTGTTTTGCAGCATAATTTTATGTTAATTTTTTCTTCATGCTAATGTTATATTTGTGCTGATAATGCAATGTACAATAAAATTATTTTTCCCACAAGTCTGTTTTTTCACCTGCTACTTGAATATTTTGTAGCTTGTCATGTAGTTCTAAAATTACCAAGTGAATTGCCTTATTTTCCTGTTTCAGTTTCTAGTTTGTTTTAACTCAGTGTATTGGGTAGACACTTCTGTTAAGTTTCAAGTACTAAATATACCACGCAGTGTGGGCTGTAATAAACCAGTTAAGTAAATTAATGTCAGCCCTGGCCCAATTTACATGAAACCTTTCTTACTCTGTATTGCTATTATTACTTTATCACTTCCAGTTCGAGAAATTTTTCATCTGAAGGAGGTCAATTCACTGTGTGCTCAAAGTCTTATATCCAGTTTGGTTGGAATTAGCCAAAAGTCAGTGAAACAAGAGCAGGATTCCAAAAAGACACCAGTCAGGTGGGCAGAGCGTGCACGCAAGTACACCTGTCACTTCTGCTGGAAAGCCTTTGTGGTCAGGCGAGATTGGGAAGGTCACATAAATTCAGTTCATCTTAAATCGAAGCCATTCCGCTGTCATATCTGTTCATGGAGCTCAGCCCATAGGGGGGAACTTCAGAAACATGTAAAAAAATGTACACACATGTATGGTCACCTCACTAAAACATCTCCAATTGAACAAGAGAGAATAGTCACAGATTTTTAAGTTCTGAGTGTAGTATAGTTTTTCTTGGCTGAAAATGTTTAAAAAATCATTCTGATTGCAACAATATATAACAGTTTACTGAGATGTCCTGTGTAATCACTTTGTCAACCAGCTACAATACTTGAATTCAGTGCTTTGAAGTTTCCACTTTATAATCATTCAAGGAATAAGTTTCGAACTTCTGATTTTGCTTCTTGTCTTTTAAATTTAAAAAAAAATCCACCACGATGCAATTATGTCTGTATACATATGAATGTTTGTTTTTCCAGCTATTATTGAGTCACTTTTAAAACAAGAGGTGACAGCTTCAGAGCATCCACACAGAGAAAGAGATTATTTAAAGTCGTCTTATGGAAAAGTGCTTCCAGTAAATCAGAATTATCACTTAGCATCATATTTTTCAAAACCATTACTTGTCAAAAGATACTCTTGCTCAAAGTGTAATCAGTCATTTAGTTATCCTGGCAATTTGTCTCGTCACCGTAAAGCTTGTGAGGGTAACTTTGACATAAAGTGCATGTACTGTGAGAAAGTATTTTATAGACAAGATGTTTTGAAAGTACATATGCGTAGTAAACATGGTATTATAAGCCTGTAATTAACTCCTTGTTTTTAAGCATTTGCTGTGATTTCATTCTTTACCATTGATCCCTATTTCAAAGTATTGTGTAATGATTGAAAATGTATTAAGCAGATTCTCGTAAGCTAGTCCTATTTCCATTTTCTTATCCCGTTTTGCAGTTATTTTGTTAATTCATTACATCTGTTTAGGCAATAAAAATTAGTTTTAAAAGTAAAGCCTTATATTCAGTATATTTGAAAAAAAAACCAATCACCTGTCTGCCCAGTAGCTCTTAAAGCATGTTCAAGACACATTGTGTCTAACAACTTTCTTCTTTCTCAGTTCAAGTTGGTGCATGTTGGAAACAGAAAAGAACTAAAGGCAGTGTTAGTGTCAGGAGCTCATCAAATTTCTTAACAACATATGATGCAAGCTCAGTTCCTACCATGAGCTCTTTGCTGGTTGCATATGATCTGGAGTGTAAAAAATGCACATTTGTGTCAAAAGATGTACTAGCTATGTCAGTTCACAAAAAAACATGCAATGGAAAAAAACATTTAACCTGTACTTTCTGTTCTAAAGTCCTTAGTCGCTATGATTCATTAGCTGAGCACATGCGTGGAATTCATGGGATTGGAAATAAAGTACAGTGCCGATTTTGTGGTAAAAGCTTTAAATATCGCCCTCAGATGTATCAGCATCAAACAGTTTGTATGGAGCGGCCTTTAAAGGTGGAAATGGATATCTCTTATCCCTCTTCAAAACTTGATAATTTTGGGGAGCAAATAGAATCTAAAATATCATTTCCCTATGATGTAACCATGTCTGTAAATATGGATTGTATTTCACAACACATGTTTAACACCAAACCATGCTCTGATATTTAAATTAGTATTTTGGGTTTATAATCATTGACAAAAAATTCCATGCTTATTTTAACTCCCAAGAAGTATGTTGGGTTTAGTCAGTCGAGGCCCTTTTCCACCAATAATAACCATGTGCAGATTAACATATTTTATATATTCGCATTCCCCCATCAGAAAAGTCATCTTCAGTTACAGACAAGCACACCGCTGTTCCAGTTTCTCAAATACTTTACAATTTAACATGGTCTACATGCAGTGTGTGTGGAAAAATGTTTGCCTACAGGCATGCCCTTCTTCGACATTTGAATACACATGAAGCAACAGCAACATGTCGCTTTTCATGCAATGTTTGTGGTCGAACTTTTAATCGAAATGATTCTCTTAGGCGACATTATAGACTAATACACAACTTAATAAAACCACCATTTATTATAGACTAATGCACAACATAAACCACTAATATCTGGAAAATTTGCATTGTATGATACAAGTTTGGCAGCTTGCTTAACCAATCAAATTTAAATTTGTCACCAAAGATGTTGGAATCTCTCCTATGCATTTTAGTTTACTCTTCTAAATAGAATAACTCATCTGGTTTACATTGTGTTGATATTCATGAGTTTCTCAATAGTTATTTGTACTTGATAATAGTTTTGTTTAACTTTGTCTGATAAAATATTTTGCTAATCTTTTTACAATAAAACAGTTTCCCTTAAAGATACTAATTACATTTTAAATTACACAAGCCAGCTCCCCTGTCCGATTTATTATGCTCCATGACTTTTTGGAAATGTTTTTTATGCAGATGTTTATTAATTTTACCTTTAAGAGCATGAGCCTTAGGGATGTTTTATTTTTAGAATGTATGTGGAATAAAACGAGATGGTAAAAATATGATACCATGTCAATTTCATTTTTTCGATTTTCTACTACTTAGAGTATCAATATTTGCCTATAATTTCCAGAATTTCTGGCCCTTACTCAAAACTCAGCTAATCAACGTGCACCAGATTTAGGACAGACAAATCCTAATTCTTATTCAGAAAGTACAAATCAAGAAGGATTTGAAACAAGTACATGTGGACTATGCAACAAATTAATTTCCTCACTTCCAGAGTTGATGACACATAAACGTTTTTGCAGAGGAAGTAAAATCCTTTCTTGCCCCGAATGTGGTGTAGTTTTTAGAAGAAAAGATAATCTTCGTGTACATATGCGCAACAAGCACAATCTTGGTAATCCAACTGTGTGTAAAGGTTGCGGCATGTATTTTAGATCATATCTGAGATTAAATGAGCATATGAACAGTTGTGAGATTCTTGTTCAAAGTTTTTCTTCTTAGAACTAGTGTTATGATTTTTGTTTTTTTTAACAGCTGTACAATTTTTTTTAGTCTAGTTTTCTTTCATTGTTAAAAATTACTTTTACACAATTCTGTAATTATTGTAACAAAGTTTGAAAATAATTATTTGAACATAAATATTGAAAGTTGATATTTTTATAAATGTGTATTATTTAATGAATACATGTTTTAGTGCTGTTCTCTTAAAATGTAAATAACTGTAGGAATGAATAAATCAATTCAAAGATGAGTTCATTTGTTTATTATTTTAAATTTGATGTCACTGTTTTTATTTATAGTATGATTAAAAAGAAATATATATTTAAACAATAACTTAAAAATGTTAAAAAGATGCAAGTCTAGAAAAATTTTTTTTTTTTAAAATTCACCCTTTTTTTTTTGTATTTTGTTTGTTACGTTTTGTTGAGGTACTAAATCAAAATTAGTGACATTACAAAACTTTTAAAAAAATAGTGTCATTTTCTTAAATTAGTTCAGTTTTTCACGTTCTACAATGCTGGGGTCCATCTTTAAATTCTGAGTGAACATTCTTTGACACAGGCATAACTATCTGCTAGGCTTGGCCCTTATCCTTCTATGTCTGTGTTCTCTTGCATGCTGTATTATAATCATAAACCTTACTGTCACTTAACATGTTTCTATGCTTCCCCAGGGCCCCTGAACCTAGGCGTTGAGAGAAACATCTTTGGGGCCCCTGCAGCCCTGCAATCCTCTGATATGCTCAGTGTTAATTCAGGGGGAAGCAGCTTTTTGACTTGGACTCAGCGTAGAATGTCTTACCCTCCAATTTCTTTAATGGAAAGCACAAAAAGTGTGAACAATTTTTCTATACCAGATACTAGTGGGTCTTCTGCTACATATTCTTCCAATTCTTCTACATCTTATAGAAGACTCTCTCGAGATGTTTATGGCAATCCTATGTTTTCCACCTGTTCCAAATGTGGTGGGAAATACACAAACCCAGGAATGTGCTCATCTCATGAGGCGAATTGCAATGGCAATAATAGGTTAATGTGTCACATTTGCAAAAGGGTTTACAGTCAAATGTGTGCACTGAAAGAGCATCTTCGTGGTAAACATGGCCTTGGGGAAATGTTGTCCTGCAAACATTGTGGCAGATCCTTTAAATACAAACCACAGCTCTATGACCATAGTTGTACTGGCATACATACTAAGGAAAAGCAGCGTCAAACTTTCATTAATACTTTGCAGGAAGACAATCTTTCTAGAGAATCAGATGATCTTGAGTCTTCTGATAAAACTAAAAAAATTCACCTGCAAACTGTATGGCAAAGTATTTAAAATCCTTTACATCTCTTCCAGTTTAATACTTAATAACTACACCAGACTGAAACTAATACACTTATAATTTGATCCCTTTAAGTAAGGTGTTGTTGTTTGATTACTTAAGAAATTTCAATTATTTTTAAGTATGCAATATGGTTATAATTTAACATGTGAATTTTAATACTTTTAAAAATTTATTCCTGTTGAAAATCCAATTGCACTATCAAAATTATGATAGCAAAGAAAGATGAGATTTCTTACTTAAGCAATCTTTTGTTAGGGTCATCTTAAAAAATAGGATCTTACTTAAACAGGTTGCTACTTGTGGCCTAAATTTATTAAGCAGCTTGTTATGGTACATAGAATTTTTTTTTCAAATTTGGGTAAAATACCATCTTGAAACTGTTTACTTTCTTGCTCAGTATGAATGACCTATTATTTATATATTTATAATTCTTAACTTGCATGCAATAAATAAGAACAAGTGACATTTTAAGTTACTTTTCACACAATAGAATACCTTTTATTGATCAAATCACTGGAAAGAAATATTCTCTAGCATATTCATAGATTTTCTTCTTAATGGTCTTCTTTATGGTTCTAGATATTGTTTTTAGGCTGTACTCTATAACTTTAAAAGCATAGACTATTTCTGTTTCAAGTACTTTTTTAGAGCTGAATAAACTATCAATAGCACCTATAGATATAAAAAAAAAAATATGAATCATATACATAGGATAAAAAAACGAAAACTATAGATCTAATTAAATAGCTGTGGTGGATGACCACAACTTTAAAATTATGCTACAGCCAACTTTTTACACTTAGCCCATGAAAAAAGGACAAGACACACCTAACTAAAATGAAACAAATATTAGCAGTTTCAATGAGAACTAATGATTAGAGATCTCCTGTGCAGTTAGTGTAGGAAAGAAGTTACAAAAGGGAAGTAATTCAAATAATTAAAAAAGACAGATTTTGTGTTTTCTTATGGAATTTGAATGAAACATAAATTTTACAGATTTTTTTTTACAAACCAATTAAGATTTTAAATGCCTATGACTCAGAACGAGAAACGTAATATTTATTTCTATAATGATTAGCTCCTTTGTCAAACCCTCAAATAAATAGCAAAGAATGCATTTAGGACACATGGACATTAAAGAGGTTTAGATATGATTCGGGTTAGGAAAAATGAGAATTAACAAGGATTAGATGTTTAAAATACAAGAATTTTTTCATTATTGAACAAATTTTTGTAAATGCAGTATTACCTTGTAGCATATTTTTTGTTTAGACTTCCATTCATGTTATTTATTTATTTCAATGGTTTAACAATAAACCTATTAATTTTCTAAATGTTTAATTGTGAATGGTTTGTGAGATTCTTGTTAAGTTGTATAATTTAGAACAGTTAGTTTGCATAATGTATTTCTCATAATATAATAAATGGTTTAAACACATTGTCACAAAATTACTCTTTATACCTAAACACGTATACCTCAAAATACATTGTTAAATACATTGAAAGTAATTAAATATTTTTTTAAAAGTATAATGTTTCTGTTGCATTGTTTGTTAATTCATGTGGTCTTTTGAATATTCAGACACTAAAATTTCATTACCGAAGAAGCTTCCACAAGCTTCTGGTTTTTAACCCTTTATTCTATGTCCCAACTTGTATCTTCTTTTTGGCTAAAGCTTGGGGCGTTCCCTGCCAAATCTTAAGATTTCAGGCGAAGAAGGCTTGCAGCAATGTTCTTAGTGAGGTGATTCAATAGAATTTTTTTCGTGGGATTTATGTCTACTTGGGTTTTACATTAAAAAACCTGCCAAGCTCAACCTGCTTCACTTGTTTTAGTATTCATTAAAGCTGAGGTCACTCTTGCCATAAGTATTTTATTCTTTTTGTCTGGAGGAGAAATTTTCTATTTATTTTGTGCTATCATCAGGTGCCCTGTACAGAGATCTTACCCTAGCATCCACATTATATGGAGATGATATTCAGTTTCTTGTGGAAAGGCGCTCAAGGCCAAGAAAGAAAGGTTGTTTTCAATGTGAACACTGTTACAAAGTATTCAATATGCAACAGAGCTTAACACGCCACAAATGGAAATGTGAAGGCACACGTGTAATGCATTGTAATATTTGTGGAAAATTATTTCATCGTCCAGACAGGCTTAAAGCTCATCAGCTTTCACAGCATAACAGTATCTAACAGGCATTATTTAGTGTTCTAAAATATGTTCAGCCACCCACATCCTCTCCACCACAAACTTTGTGTATAGCTGACATCAGCTTTAGGTGAAGTCATTTTCTCTTGTGCATTAGTTTATTTTTAAACAAATAACAGTATGTAGTAACTGTTAGTGTTAGTTTTTTAGATGTCAATTCAAAAGCTTTTGTAATAGAATCATGTTAATCCTTTACGCTCGGGGCTGTATTTTGTAGAGTAAACCTTATTTACAAACACTCAGATTATTATAACATGTCAAGTCTTCATCCTATTCTATTTTCTTGGTCTCTAGTAGTTTACCATTCCATTTGTTATTTGTCCTTTATTAGGTTTGTACCAACACCATAAAAGCTCAGAACAGTATGCTTGTGAGCGTTGCAGTAAGATGTTTTCATACAAAGGAAGCCTTAACCGACACCGTTGGAAATGTGAGAGACTACGTGTTCTAAACTGCACATTATGTGATAAAGAGTTCTTTCGTGTTGATATTCTTAAGGAACACATGTTTTCTATACACAAAATCTCACCTGTTGATTTTTTATACTGAATAATGGAATCTCAAAACTGTGCTAAGTTACCACCTGCCCAGAGAAGCTTATCCCCTTATTTTGTTATAAAAACTATTTTAAAAATTTGTGTTGAAGAATATCTTTGCATGTTTAAGTGAAGGCATATTTTAGCTACTTTATTGTGGTATCCATATTATGAAAAGAAAGTTCCTATTTATTTTGACATATTTCAAGTTTCTCTAGATTTGTTTTGTCTACAGCATAAAGGCTGTTGAAGTTTAATAAGGTGGTGTTTTTCCTTTCATGTAATAGACTGACCATGTTCTGTCACTCAATTTTTCCCACAGTGAAGGTTGCAATCACTTCCGGGATGTTGATTCATTATCAAGCCAACCTTCACAACCCACAGAACTTGTTTATTTGTGAGCGCTGCCACAAAACATTTCTGTACAGTCAAAGCCTTAATCGTCACAAGTGGAAATGTGAAAGGTCTCGTGTAATGCAATGTCCAGTCTGTGACAGAGAATTTTTTCGTGCTGATAAATTTAAGGAACATCTCTTAGTGCATCAGGCTATTGTTGGAAAGCAAATATAATATTTACCATCACATTAACTTACCAAAATTGGAACAAGATTATGTAATCTTATGATTATAAAGTTTTTTGTTTCATAATTATTCTCAATTAACAAGCACAACTGGAAACTCTTTTCTAGTAGTAGTAGAAGTGCAGTATTTGTCAGCTAAGTTAGCATTGTAAATAGATACCACAATTTTTATCAGTCAGTTATATCCTGTGAAGCTTGATATTAATTGCCTTTGGGTAGATGTGAAATTAATATTTAAAAAACTTTAAATAATATTGGAGATGAGAACTGGAATGTTCCATGTTTTTTTTTTTTTGCCCCAGTGTTTTGCTATTATTTTGCATTTTAAAAAATGTGATTTGGGTAAATAACAGAGCTAGTATACGCTAAGTTCTTATAAATTAAAATCTTGTCCTGGTACTTTCTTATTGTCACTAGGTAGACACCCAACTTCTGTCCGCCTTGGCCATCAGGTTTACATGTGTCAGCGTTGTAACAAGACTTTCCTTTACAGCCAGAGCTTAACACGGCACAAGTGGAGATGTGAACAAACCCGCACCCTCAGCTGCTCAGTTTGTGGAAAAGTCTTTTATAGAGTAGATTATCTGAGAAAACATGAAATAAGCCATATTCGGCACTGGCAAATTTAAAAATATTAAGCTGCGACTGTAGATTTGTTCTTAAGTAAACAGAACATGTTATATCACTATTTAAGCATTAGTGTTAATCTCAGTTAAACCTCACAGTTATGCAATCCATAAATTATTTGTTGATGGGGAAGTTTGAACTTAAGCAATCAAATCAATAGGCATTAATCAAAAGTAAACAAGAAGACTTGTTAAAAAATTCCTTTACTTCTATACCATTTTTATTAACTTCCAGTTGAGTTGCAAATAAAGCTTGTAGTCTTAAAGGCCCTCTCCTTGTCACAATTTATTTTCCCTAAGGTATCTTAGCATGTTGCCTCTGTCATGTTAATGCAAATTTGTACATTCTGTACCTATTAATATTATTACAATCAGGTCTGAAGAAAAAAAGTGGAGTTGGACAGTTACTGCACAAAAGATCACGTAAACAAACAACTCCTGGTCCGGGCCGGCTTGAGTGTGAACATTGTAACAAATTGTTTTCCTACACTCAAGGTCTGCGTAGACATAAATGGAAATGTGAAGGTTCTCGAATCTGGCCATGTTCTTTTTGTGACAAGTTCTTTTACCGTTCAGACCACCTTAAAATTCACGAGAAGGCATATCATGATAATTTGATTCAAGGAAAAGGTCTTTATTTGTAGTAAGCTTATGGGATTTTAAAACTTTTTCTAAGATATCATAATTGTTAACATTAAAAATTGGGTTTGCAGGATGAAATAGTTTTAAGGTTTTCATTTTATAAAGTAAGATATGAACAATTCAGATCCTTTATATATTGTATTTTTTTTGTTATCACTTATTCTTTCTAAACAAGTGTTTTTGCGAGATAGGGCCTGTGGATATTTACATGATTGTGCTGTTTGCAATGAACATAGTTAATTCAAAAGTAAGTTAAACTATAACTAAAATAACCAAGATTTCAGGTTTTTTAAAGACATACAATAAACTAGTTAATACAATTATTAAAATTAAATAATGAACAGTAATCAGCTGTGAGATGTGTTAAAAATTGGCTTTTGAAAAAGTGTAATTTTGTTCTTAAACCAGTCTTACCAGCAGTTACAGGCTAAATAAAGTGAAATTGCTGTTCTTGTGGAATATATTTTTTTAAAGTTGATTTTCTTATGAGTTACTCAGATGTTATGAAAACAATGTTTTGATATGGATGTTCCACATATTAGTCGTTATGTTTGTAATAAATTGATATATTTCAAACAAAATATTGAGTTTATTGGTTATGAATGTAGGATTTATTTGAGTGTCAGTGTGTGTGGATTTTAACATGGCTTCATAATATTTGGTCATTGTTTAACTTAAATATTTACAAAGCAATAGTTTGTGTATAATATAATATGTTGAATTCTTTATTAATAGTAACTCAGCCTAAATATAGAAATAAAAAATAAATTCAAAGTTATATAGTTGTTTCCTCTATTGGACAGTGTGGCAAGTGCCACCAAATTTGTCTTCCGTTGAACATTGGCAAAATCATGTTGTATTATGATTTCAGTAGTGATCAACTTTAGTACGCACCATAAATTTTCCTTTATTTTCAATAATTGTCCCCTGTTACATTATTTACTCTAGAATAGCACCTTTGCATAAGTTGAAGTGTCTGACTGACGTAGTAATGAATTAGAAAGATTGTAAATATTATGTACTTATTTATGCATACTGCATAACATCATAAATTTATACTGGTATAAAATAATTTTCATGAGAGCATAGTTCCAGAAATGGCATTGTTTTCAACACATTTTTGACTGCTATAGTTGTCTGTTCTTTATGGTTGTCCCATTAGAAGTCTTAAGAGAAATTGATGAGTACCAGAGAATTAACAAAGACAGTATAGATATACAGCACTCCACTTCCTCTGCTCTTTTAAAAAAAATTAAAGTGAGATACCATGAACTTTCAGGCTGACTTCAGAGCTTATGTAGTTTTGCAATTCTTAAAACCGTCAGAATGTATACCATTCCTATTTTAGTAGAGTATAATTTCTGAATCCTCTAGTTTCCTTCTCCTATGGATGTCTTTCTTTATGTCTGCGTTTCATGCTGAATGTTTCCATTATCATAGCTTTTTTTTTGGCATAATTGATAATCAAGTTTGTACTTGCGGTTTGCTGTAATTTGATTTCATTTTGAAGCTTATTTTTTATCTCTATTTATTCATCTTTTCCTTTTTGTGCCCAAGACATATGGGGCCGCCTCTATTTATTATTAGTAGTAAAATACTAATTTAAGTACCAAAATGAAGTTATGATATTAATTGATTACACACTGCGAGTTTTTATATACTTGTCTTACTAAAAATTATTATGTTATGTAATTATAATTTTTGTATCCTGGTCAACTTGATGAATATTATTAAAATATGCTGAAACATTTAAAGTTTTTAGAGATAAGTCTTTATTTTTGTCACGTATGAGATCATGATATGTATATATATATATATATATATATATGGGTTGAAACCAGCAGCTTGTACCAGTAGTTGGTACAGTTAAAATGGCTAATCTTAAAATTCTACTAACTATTTAACCCTCTTAAGACGCAGCTTTATCTGAAAGCCAGTGCTAAAAAGACAGAGCCTACTATTAAGCTTTGCACTTGCATCACAAAAAAAAATTGATAAAAAAATGTAAAAATGCGGCAAACTTTCCATGGAAGCTGCCATACTGAAGTGCTAGAATGAACTAAAATACTAAGAAGCAATCTGATTGGCTGATATGATACTAGAAAGCCAATCATGTGGCTTCTACTATCACTGCTGACACCAGGCTGGTAGATCGGCCCGGTCGTCCCAAGAGGGTTAATTTAATGTTTAATTACATTTAGCAGACCCATGACAATTGTCATAAAAACTTCAAAGGCTAGGTAGTATAAATCACTTGAACTAAGCATATAGTTAAAATTTAAGTATATTAAC